TATATTTTACTTTGTTATGGGATGCACTAAATATGATGTTTTAAGCAATAAGCTATTTACATTTCTTGAATTGTAACTAGATTGTAACACTTTATCAAAGACTTGTGCTAGCCCTTGTTGTTTTAGTAATTAGGATATATTGGATTTTATTAGGTCTTATTTAATACACTTCTTTTTTGTTTGTACTTTGTCATAAATTGTACAATGTGCAATTGTAGTGCAATAAAGTTCTTCTATATTAAGTTACACTACTGATAGCAGATTGGAAATATTGTGGTTAAAACAAACTTGTAAAAGATCGTGAAATTCCGTAAAAGCCGTCCTTTTTTGTGCAGTAATTATCATTGTTTGGGAATATACCTGTCGGACGGTTGAGATAAAGCATTGATAATCCATGCACCTGCGCTTGGTGACGCGCGTATGTTATTTTTGCACTCCAGTGTCAAGAGGAGAACTCATTAGTGCAGCATGTATTTCAAGAATAGTTGTCGTAGTTCTGTAATGGTCCTGGTGACGCAGTCGTATTCACGCAGTTTATCTGAAATTGTACTCTCTATAGCAATGAACGAAATGAACTATTTGATGCAGCCTCAAAATTCTACCATAACTTTCACACATATACAAATGAAAAAATACTCTCTACTTAACATCGGAAAACCCACAAATTACAAAAAAAGTGTAATCTTTTGTCTTCCTTCGTCTTAAAAAAGGCAAGCCCGGTATTTTATAGAGGTTATTAGTAGTTCTGTGCGTATCGATTGCATCATCTTATAACAAATGCTTCTTCAATCTGTACTTGCAATTAGCCCTCAGGCATGAATTTGCAATAAAACAAAAACTTGAAATTATACGGTCGGTATACTCTTTTTTCAAAATCCTTAATTAAATTGCAGACAAGGCAAAGTGTAGGATTAATCCTGATAGGTTTGCTCGTCCATGAATCTTCTACTTTAGAGAATATACTCCTTGGCTAGCTGGACCATGTACATGTATGTATACGCAGCAAACAATTCTTTAAGATACATCTTATGGCTAGGGATCCCGGCACGAGTCTCTGTCATTATAGTTAGTCTATAAATGTATTTACCAATTTGCACAATGTAAATAATACACGTATATTATCTTCTCAGGAATACATATATGACATTGCCTGGTATGATCCATGGTAATTAAATCTTTCGTACAAGCAGAAAAAGATTATAAGCTTTAATCATTTAATATTCAGTTGCTGAAGTGCGGACGTGGGCGTCAAGTATCGAGGATTATTAGCGGTTGGTTACACTCTGAGCAAACTGCAGTCGACATCATCATCAATTCTGACAATTACCACCCACCCTTCGTCAAACAAAATCTCATCTATAAGTCAGCAACCTTATCAAAGTACTAGTGCTCGGCGTCTCCTTGAGATGTTAGCGGGGGTTTTTGAATGGCTTGTCAACAACATAACTCCCTAACTACAAAAGACTGCTGCGATCGTAGGCGTTGAAGAGAATGAATGTTTTCAGCGTGGTGGGTGGTAGAGATAGCACTGAGTTCAAATATGACAGCTATATCTTTAAAAAATTGCTTTTTATTCAAGACATACCTAACCATCTACGGTTAATATCCTTAAAGATGCATGGGAAACATTCTGAAAACCTTGTGACAAAAAGGCTAAACGTTCTGTGAATTTTTGAATGAGTTCTACCAACGAGGATAAACTGGAAGCCTCTCGAACTCTAAATTTCACTTGTCTCAAATTTAGACAAGCCGGCGTCACAAAAACCATCATAGGGTCAAAAGAGTCTTGTTCAAATGCATTCAAGGCTAACGCGTTTCCTTCTTGAAATTGGAAGACCAAAATAACATGCGACGGTACGTCGTTTTACCCATGTGAGGGATAGCGTTCACAATCGTCATTACCCTGGGAAGTCATTGCTTCCAAGGTGACATTACCATAACTCAGCGTGATGTTAAAAGTAGACCTCAATAACACATGTTGGCAACGCTGTAAAGAAAATGGGAGGATATAGTGTTAGTACCATCACGCGCGCAGACAGTTCGATACATCGGTGTAATAACAGATACCAGTAACAGGACAATGTAGATGGAAGATCGGCCAAGTCTACAATCTGCGGTTTAGTTTTCCCCTTTACTTTAGATAAAAGACTTGCTAAGAAAGTTTTTTAAGTCACTGTAGATAAGTCCAAAGGTGTTTCAGCAGTAAGAAACAGAAAGAACTCCTATACTCAAAGAGAGTTTTTGAATTGCTCAATGGATTAAGGTGCGACTAAAATACTTTTCTAAGAGGAGGGGGGTAGTTAGTGTGTGGTCATGAGTAGTCTAGTAGCAAAGTATCCGTACATTTCAGAGAATAATTTCATAAGGTGGTAAAGCTTCTTAAGGGCACGGTCACATTTCCAAGCCGGGGCCCGGCCGGGTTGCTTGCGTGAACGAAAAAAAACGATTTGTATTAAGAGTATACACAAGTAGTGTTCCTGGTTAATTTTCTAAAACTTTTTTCATGTTTTGATGTCTTATATCATAATTTTCGTTCCATACGACTGCCCGGTCGGGCCCCGGGTTGGGAAATGTGACCGCGCCTTAAATGAAAGGAAGGTTGTTTTTTTATTCAACATCCAGTGGGATTTTACAACCCAAGTAGCGACACCTACCTGCAGTACCGATCAGCGCTGTCACTATTGTAGTGAAGAAGCTGTGGAAGACGAAATACAGTTTATCTCAAACTGTTCTTTTCATAACAACGCTCGTAATAAGTTGTCTATTCTATAAACGTACGGACAAACACAAAAATATTCTTCTTTAAGCTACCAGAAACGAACAAATTTTTGGAAAAGGTGAGACATTACGTCTTCCGTGGTTTACAAAAGAGAAGTCAAACCCTTGAGACATAATTTTAGACATAGCCATAGCCATAGACACTTACCCTTATGTTGTAAATTCTTAAGATATCTTGTACTCTATTTCAGTGTTCTTTTATCCTTGTTATTTGCAATTAGCCTTCGGGCAGTAATTTTCAATAAACTTACCAGTTAATTGTGGTTCTGGCGAAGGTGACATGAAAACAACCAACTGGCTGTATAGAAGAAGAAACTTTCTTACATATGTCCATAATTTTGATTGTGTCCATTTTAAGAAGAAACTTTAATGAAATCACAATAAATCCGAATGTTCGGCATTATTTCCTATTCCCCACCTTAGTATTAAACTGTCAATCTCTCAGTTAGGGTTCATCTGTCATTATTGCTAGAACGCATATAATCTAAGTGTATGCTATGATAATAGGCGTTGATATCCGGTTGACGTGTATTCCGGAAGTTGCCGGCACCGTGCTGTCTGGTTTCCTGTCTGAGCCGTAACGTCTGAAGTCTCATTTGGGAGATCACGAATATGCAAATGAGTACGACCAGCGCAACGCTAGCTTCAAAATGGCGTGGACCGTATGTATACGTATTTTGCTTGCGTATTTTGCCATATGTAAGGTTACTATAAGTGCACACACACTAGAAATAGAAAGGGGCTGCTGTAGAAAACTACCTGTGTACGAGAGTATATAATATTGCCAAATAAATGCAGTGGAAAATAAAATACATTTATTAGCCAGTGTCCTCACTATGAGACCGAAAGAAACAGGTTATTTCAAACAGTCACCAGAGTTTCTTCATCCTTTCATCACCTAGAAGATCACCAAAAGACTGTGTTCCTACTTATATCACAAAACCCACTAATTATACAGAACGTTGGACTATTCATTATCCACTGCCTTCAAAGAAGAAGTCAAACCTCGTAATAGCAAGCGTACTTAAAGTAGTATAATTTTTTTCCTATTATTGCATTGTACCGTATCTTTGGCTCTGTAAAAGCAATTAGCCTTCAGGCATGATTTTGCAAATAAAGCCCAAAATAATGATCAGGGACGCTCTAACCCAAAATCACTTTCAGCATGTTTTCCACAGGATATAAGGGAGGCTATCAATAGCGGTGACTTTATACTGGCGCCAGTGTAGACCTTATCTAGTGGGGGATACCTTACAACCTTTGAAAACCTTTCTTGTGAAGTAGAGTCTTAATACTTAGTCTGAGATCCAGTCATGGTGAATTTCGTTTGCAGACCTAGCTTAGCGTCTACAAAGCATGGGGATTACGGTTTTTGTAGAAAAGGCTTCTGGGACACTGATCCATTTGGGAACACGGTTTGTTTACAAATGAAAGGTTGTGGTTCTAGGTTCCACGTGGACAACAAATATATGCAACATTTCATTATGTCTGAACCACTGTATGAATTCTCGAGAACACTAACATGTCGACAGAACGTACTGCACCTGCACGAAACCCCGATTTTTCACGGTTTTCGTTAATTGGAAATTTGGACACAACATTTGGAAACTACAGACGGGATGTTAACCTTATATATGCGAATGTGACATTATATGAGACTTTCTGCCAAAGTGCTATGCACAATACATTACGGGTTTCCCGCAGGTGCAGTATATGTACGTTCTGCCGACGTGCTGAGAACACTATGTCGCCAATATGACATCATTATTTTTTTATGCTCCAAAATTTCATGATTAAACATGATGGCTGCACACTTAAGTTTTTTTTTCAACTTATTTTTGCCACCACCAACGCAGAGGACAAATACTTATTTTCACTTGAGTTAAGTAAGGAAAGTCGTGTACAGTGCCTTTCCCAAGGCATGTCGCCACAAGATCGGTGGCATGTCAGGACTCAAACCTTGGACCTTTTGGTTCTGAGTTAAGCAATCTGCATTATATACGCACCTACGACAATGGACATTAATTAATTAATTAATTAATTAATTAATGTCTATCTTAATTAATTTCATCCTAATGTACCTAATGATCTTCATTATATATGCAAAGTCGGATAATAAAATACATACAGCTAAAATAAAATACAACCTGTTAAAAAAAGGCTTCAATCATTGATCGGTTTAAGAAAAAAAGTTTATTCCCAAAATGTTTGCACAAAAATTGTGCAGACAATCTGTATTGTTCCCTCCCTGTAATCTGTGTTAATATCATACGCGTAACACAAGAGCACCCCCTAGCAGAAATACCGGGTATGTGCAGCACAACTAATCGGTACAAGAGACCCGCCTTGCAAAGATGTCGAGCAATTTCCAAGGAAACTATAGCTAGACCAAGTTAAACGTTGTGTAGCCATTAAATTTACGCTATTACGTGCTTGTTAAGTATAACTTTGAAGTTTGATGTATACAAGATCATTCCAGTGTCAAATATATCCGTCTACATATCGCTGAAGTTTTGATATGTTCAACTTCTTGACGGTTCATCATATCTAGGCACAGAGAACTAGGCATGTTGTGGTACTAGGTACATGTACTAGAAACACTTGCGATGGACAATGGCCGGTCCAGACTCGTCGTACTCTTGTTTTGTGATCCACATGGTCTGGAATGTTGACAGAGAAGACAGGATGGACCCGCCGATCCACACGGAGTATTTTCTCTCGGGAGGACAGATGATCTTGATCTTCATGGTGCTGGGAGCCAGGGCGACGATCTCTTTCTGCATGCGGTCACCGATACCGGGGAACATGGTAGTACCGCCGGACAGCACGGTGTTGGCGTACAGGTCCTTACGGATGTCGATGTCGCACTTCATGATGCTGTTGTAGGCTGTTTCGTGGATTCCGGCAGATTCCATGCCTAAAACACACCGCAAACGTATTACGGTTATTATGTTTCTTGCCCTTATACTTACTGACACAATAACCATGAAATTGTCAATTTTAACGCGTACTTGTATTTCTATTACAACAATGCATGTGTTTTTGTTTACTGCAATATATATAGAAAACTAACTCCTGTTCCTTATTTCTTCGTACAGAAAGACACGTTTTGTTGGAGGTAAATGTATAAATATATTTTAAAAACTAAAACAAACACTATGAAAAACTTAAACTTTTCTCCAACTCAAAATTTGAGTGGGAAAAATCACGTGTCCACAGCATTTGGGTCAGATAGCTGAGGAAGACTGAGTGATTCGGTCAAAAATTTCTGGTGCGTCAAATTTTGAGTTGGAGAAAAGTTTAAGTTTTTCATAATGTAATTTACCAACTCAGATGAACTTTCATGCTGATAAAACAAACACTAATTGCCTTCTACAATTGTAAATAGTGACAAAAATCTTACTAGGGAGTACTACAGAAAGAAAGACACATGTAGCATTGCCTCACCAAGAAAAGACGGTTGGAAGAGGGCTTCTGCACAGCGGAATCTCTCGTTTCCAATGGTGATGACCTGTCCGTCGGGCAGCTCGTAACTTTTCTCAAGTGACGTGGAGGTAGCCGCCGTCAACATCTCTTGCTCGAAGTCAAGGGCGACGTAAGCCAACTTTTCCTTGATGTCACGGACTATTTCTCGTTCAGCTGGAAGGGACATTTGCACATCGTTTTGAAATCACAAGAGGGCGCTCTCAACCATACAAACAAATCAAGAAAGACGTAAGCTAACTTTTTCCTTGATATCGCGGACTATTTCTCGTTCAGCTGAAGGGGACATTTGCACATCGTTATGAAATCGCAAGAGGGCGCTGTCAGTCGGTCAAATAACCGTACACACAAGTCAAGAAAGACGTATGTAAGCTAACTTGTTACTTGATATAGCGGACTATTTCCCATTCAGCTGGAAGAGACATTTGCACATCTTTATCAAGTCGCAAGAGGCCGCTCTCAGGTTGTCAAATAACCGTATGATTTGATTTGATTTGATTTGATTTGATTTGAAACCGTACACACCCGTTATCATGGCTGTACGTTTGTTTGACAAAGAGTAAAATTTAGGGATATGATCCCGTGATACTCTCTGCATCAATAACTTAAAGGTAAAAGACAAAAAAGAAAACAATTAAATCAGAGTCTTGTTTCTCTTTATATTTAACCTCCATCCACGTTCCGGAATGGTAACAGACATCTTTGCCCATTTTAGGCATGATGACCACTATTTTTTTCCCAAATCAGGCAAAAATTATTGGACGTAGTGATTTCATCCATAAAAATTACTTACTGTGGCCTAATATGGTTTTCTTAGGATCACTTTTAGATGCCACCCTGCGCGTTAAAATAATCCCTTGTCACGTGCACTGAAGAGCAAAAATGTACGAGCAAACCATTACCTGTGGTTATAAAGGAGTAGCCCCTGTCGCACATGACTCTCACAAGGTAGTTGGACAGCTCTCTGCCGGCTAGGTCCAGTCGCAGGATGGCGTGTGGCAGGGCGTACCCTTCGTAGATCGGCACCACGTGTGTTACTCCGTCCCCCGAGTCCAGTACCAGGCCGGTAGTACGGCCAGACGCGTACAGGGACAGAACGGCCTGGATAGCTATGTACATGGCCGGGGTGTTAAACTGCTCGAACATTATCTGTGGTGAAAACAAAGCCGCTCTGTTAATCTTATCATAACGCAAATATATATAGAGAGATAGAGGTTCTTTATTAACACAGCGAAAAGTACAGGGACTTTTGTATGGTCTTCTACAACTTAAGATCGAACAAATCTTAAGTTAATACATGTATGGGTATCCAATGTGGTTTAAAAGATCCTTAATTAATGCATCTGAGTACATATCTGTTTTAGTTGTGTCAATCAAGATGTCAAGAAAATGACGGAGGACTCTATGAGCTATCTGCTCTATCGCAGAATCAGGTGGTGTTCAAACGTAACTAAAGCAGTGAATTTATTCCTTGACAAAGACTGATACAGTGCAGTAGGGCTTCTGGGTAAGACACGTTTTCACAAGAATCTGTACCAACTGATCAGTGAACTGGGATTCGTGTCACAAAAATGTTTTCCTTCCCCTTCAAGATCACAAATAAAGAAGAAGCAAAAATATAAACCCAATGCTTTTAACATGTTTATGCCAGCCAGTGAGCTAACTAATGCCACCCAGCGAGTATCTCATGCATATTTATGGCTAGGAGGCGCTATCGCATACCTGTGTCATTTTTTCTCTGTTAGCCTTAGGGTTAAGCGGAGCCTCTGTGAGTAGAGTCGGGTGTTCCTCGGGAGCGACACGCAGCTCGTTGTAGAAGGTGTGGTGCCAGATCTTCTCCATGTCGTCCCAGTTGGTGACGATGCCGTGCTCGATCGGGTATTTAAGGGTAAGAATCCCCCTGAACAATGTAATAAAAGAGAAAAATCAAGATTCTATGTTCGTTTGCTTTTTTTATACTGGAAATACTACAAGACGTATTTCACACAAAACTGAGTCCAATTCTAGTTACACCATCGACCACGTATGATTAATTAAAACACTGATAAAACTAGACAAGAGCTATCTACCAGCCAAATATCATGACCCTACCATGCCCAGATCCAGCTCCGCCGCAGTACTAAAACAAGTCGCTAAGGGACCTAATCATTTTGAGGTCTCATCAAGACCTACCGACCTACCAAGTATCAAAAGACAATCCATCAAAGTCTTCTCGAGTTATCGTGTTTACACAGGCACACACAGACAGAAACACACACACACTCACACGCACACACACACGCACACACACACATACACACACACACACACACACACACACACACACACACACACACACACACACACACACACACACACACACACACACACACACACACACACACACACACACACACACACACAAACTCCACATGGCAAAGCCAAAAACAACACAAATCTCTACCTTTTGCTTTGTGCTTCATCACCAACATAAGCGTCCTTCTGCCCCATACCGACCATGACGCCCTGGTGCCGAGGCCGGCCCACTATGGACGGGAACACGGTCCTGGGCGCGTCGTCCCCCGCGAACCCCGCCTTACACATCCCGGACCCGTTATCCACCACCAGGGGCGTAGCCTCGTCACCTTCGTCGTCCAACATTGTGATCGAGTTGAATTTTTCAATAAAGAAGTGGCTATGCGAAAAGAACATACAATACATTAGTTTCTGATTTGTAGTCCTCTAACTAATCACACAATTAATTTGGCGTATCTAAAGCCATAATTATGAGTTTCCTTCATTTTTCTCAGCAAGTAACCACTCAAATTATGTATTCATTTCGATCTCTTAGACTATTAAATCTTAAGGATAGTGCCTTTAGCCTTAAACAGACCCGGACTACACGATTTAGCATAGCGCAAATGGAAACTTAGAACGAAACAGGAATAAAAGAAAGCACGGAAAATCGCCTACCTCTGGAATGGACGCCGTCGATATTTCTGAAGCTAATGTCTTTTCCTTCTACTTTTATACCCTTTCAACGTTTTTACAGGAGCCAGAGAAACCAACTGGCATTTTATCAAACCCGTCAGTTCCTAGAATCGTTGACCGCCAGGCTACTCCGACATTCCGTATATGGTAAAAGTATTTATAACCGACTGTTTAGCTGTAAAAACAAAAATGTTGAAAATGTTCTAACAATTGCTGCAGATGAGGTCATTGTCACAAGCTAATTATAGAGGTCAATGGGCGATGCTAAAAAAATTAGACATGTGTCATCGTCTGTAAATGTTACAGTGTGAAAATGTTGTCAGATAAAAATTGACTTGATATGAATGGAAATCGATATTAAACACAGCATGCCTTAGAAAGATTTTGTTTTATTAATGTTGTGCATTTGTAACTTCAAACTCAGGCCGATGGTTTCTACACGATATAACCGTGGCTTGTTATCTCAGCTGTCAGAAAAAGGCGATCTCTCTGATGCGTACCCAAGGCCACAATGATTTAATTTTATGGATGACATCCACGCGCGCATTGATTTTCGCCTGTTCTCAAAAGAAAAAATAATAACATAAATCACCTCCTCCGAGGCTCTGGCCTGGGTGCCATCCTCCTTAGTCCATGATAGCTAGTGACAATAGATAGCCGGCGGTAACTACATGTATAGAGGACGGCACCCAGGCTGCCGACGCTCCACGCGAACTCAACAATAACTCAGCACAGTTCTAGTGTCGAATCATAAATGCCTGAAAAGGCCAGCCTGTGGTAAAAGTAGGCATGTATTGCTACTACCGCAAATTAACAATACCATCTTTGTATCAAGAAGTTTAGCTACATTTTCTTTGGCTGGAATTCGCCCGCGCGCATTAGTTTGGGGGTTTTCAGAGGATGTCATCCATAAAATTAAATCGTTGTGGCCTAATGTTGTGCATTTGTAACTTTGAACTCAGTCCGATGGGTAGTGCATGACATTGCACAACTATTAACGCCATGACCGTGGCTTGTTAACTCAGCTGTTCTGACGCGTTTCAGAAAACGGCGATCTCCCTGACGCGTACTGTTGGTTTAGTTGCCTTGTAGACTGACGCGGGCAGCTGTTATCATTTGGTAATCGACGTTTTTAAAAGTCAAGTGCAACTTAAGATTTTATAATTTGTTCTGGTTCAAAAACGGTTCCAAATCTGTACAGTGTAGTAACGTTATTACTCTCTTGGCGTGAGAGAGACCTAGTACGTCGTATCGAGTGATGTCTCCCGTCGAGATCTCGCGTGGCTGTGCGAGATTTTACATAGCATTCGTTGGACGTGAGGTTTTGTGTCTTTCTGTGAGCATCTGCTAGGATCTTCAAATCTCTTTAAATACCTTTGTTTAATTAAGAAAAACACAAATCGTTGATCTTTTTTAAGATCTCTTCCCTCAACGAAAAGGGGCCAGCAGGTAGATTTAAGTATTTCGTGAATAAAAACTCACGGTGAGACAAAATTTGCACATTCGATTGGGTTGATCATGACTTGAGTATATTTGTTTAATTTATTATTATTTGGTGGGATGGCTACTCTCTCCTTGTGGGATGAATTGTGAGGGGCTTACAATTATTGGGGCTTATAAAATCGCAAGGGTCTGGAGCGGCTGCCATTCGGCGCTATTCACAGGTGACCTCAATACGACCCCAGGTGCGGCCTGTAAGATTTGAACCACCCACACCGTGAAGGACCCCTGCTCATTTCGATAAGTGTACTGGGTTCTTTAACGTGCGTGGGGTGTGGCTCTCGCAAACACGGGACTTCCATTTACAAACTCTGGCTAATAATACTGTCTTGCCACCGAAAGAGATCTGCTTGGAGATTAGAATACTCTGCCGTAACGCCACACGACCCCACAATTTCCGGCCCCAAATTTTCATTCTTGGTAAAACGCCCCCTTCCCGGCCCCGCTTCTCTGGTCATTTACTACTAATAGTCTAATCCCCGGGAGGCATGTTGACCAGACGGCATACCGGTCAGGTGACACGGCCCAAAACTTATCCAGGCCGTCTCAGTGAGTACACCTGTCAGAGTAGACTGGACGGACCCCAGATCGGACAAGTCCCCGTGACAACATGGCCGGCTTCCCGACTCTGTTCCTCCTGTCGTCTCTACTGTGTTACGGACTGGTCTCGCCGTTCGCTGTTGTCCACAAGACGGACCTTATGAAGGGAGGACCGCCTCTAAAGATCGCTGCTTTCAACGTCCAGGTCTTCGGGCTGAAGAAATTCAGCAAGGAAGAAGTTACCAAGACGCTGGTCAAGGTGCGGTTATATTACAGTCTTTCCTAACGGGTGCCTTTTCGGCGCTTGTTTATGGTGTACATGTATATCAGAATTATACGGTGCTATATCAATTGTGTCATGTAGCAACTTGTAATATCTTGTTACATAAGTAAAGCCAAACACCTGAGAGTCGTTAATCTCCAAACTCCACTGTCCATGTCGGATTTAGGAAAAAGAATGAGCAACTTTAGCATTTCATTTAACCAATGATCTCCCTGTTAAACGTAGTCTATGCACTGAATACATTAGGGATATGTGAAGTAGCTTATGAGGGCTAAAAGTGTCAAGTGATTTTTTTCTAAAGCGTCGGTAATTTTGTAGACAATCAACAATGCTTACTCTAAACATTCTAATAACTTTCTTTCCTTTTGCCCCCATCGTTTGACACTACCCTTCCACACTCTGCTACATTTGTGTAGACTTTATTTCAAAGATTTTTCCTAGTTTCATGAACAACAATTTCTCGCCGAAGCAGCTTAAGTCCTAATGGACATTTAAGTAAGCAGTCTTTCCAGTTTGGATTAAATCTGAATGCTTGCATGCAGTAGAATTTTCTCACTTTGCTTACTCAAAAAATTCCTTACATAGCCTTGCTCAGTCAACCCTATGTAGTGTCAGCTCGTGTGACATCTTGTTGTCTCCACACATGTTTACAGGCCAGAAAGTTGCACGAAACATTATAATAACCTATATATGCTGTTTTGATTTTTCAGATCATTCGGAGATACGACATTATTGCGATTCAAGAAATCCGGGACAGTTCTCAAGAAGCTTTTCCAGCTTTGCTAGTCGAAGTAAACAAGTGAGTCTATTCTTATCCTCATTTTTACTTCTTTAGTTTCGTCCTCAGTTTCTTTCTTAGTTTCCTTATACGCATCATTATAGCTCAAAGTATTTTAGGTTATTTAAGTATTATTTAGAGAAAAAAAGTAAGACATGTGTTAACACCCAAAACTACATCGAAGTTATGCATATGTCCTCTTATATAATTACATAGCAACTAATAAAATATATAAATACAGTACTAGTTTTCGTTTGAAAAAGCAACCATCACAGGGTTTTGTTTCACTAAATAATCTTGGTCTAGGGGCTACACCGAAAGTTTGAAAAGATTACAAGTTCGTTAATTTTGAACAACTGCTTGATTGTTAAGTATGCGTGTTAAGTAAGCTTGCGTGGCAATAAAAATAGGCTAAGAAAATAAAAGTACCCCATCTTTAGTTGTCTGACTGGTACGCGTAACATATCATTTGCCACCATTATTTATGCCTACCTTTACAATGGGGTATTTGATTGGTATGTAAAAGATGCCATTAAGGGTTGAGCATCAAGCAATATGTCAAACTAGGTGCGATTTGAGTCGTTTGACCTGCGGCTAAAGCCCCTGTCACACTTCCACGAATCTGGCCTCACAAACGGTAGCCCAAAACCCGCCAACCATGGTTAGGAGTGGGTCGGCTGTCGCTCGGCTTGGTCGGCTACGGTTCGGCTGCACCAGCCAAATGTTTTGAAATGTTTAAGATATTCGTGGGGAGCTCGGGATGTTAGATCATAGTTTGTTGGTTTTTAAACGTAAGGCCATGTTGATTTGATTATATGGATGACATCCGCGCGCGCATGAATTTTCGGCCGTTTCCAAAAAAAAAAAGTTTTCAACCATACTGTAAATCGTACAAAACAGTTGCTAAATGAGCAAAAATATACTATAAGTTGCAAGGAAAACATTTAGAAACGATACCAATGTCGTAGAATGCCAAAGTCAAAGGAAAAAAGACAAAAATGTAAAGAAATGAATTCGAAGAGTAGATTATTCGCCATAACATATTCTGTGCCATTTGTTCAACCTTCATGACCACGTAGATTTCATAGTGAAAGCAACTTTTTTTTTGTCAAAACTTTTTTTATTCACACGCGCGCATCAGTTTTGGGGTTCCCGGAGGATGTCATCCATATAATCAAATCAACATGGCCTAAGTCAGCAAAACACTAGCCAATCATCCGAGTGCGTGTAAGTCAGTAGTGTTCGGGCGGAGGTGTTCAGGAAACAAATTCGACTCCAATTTTATTCAAATTCGATTCGTATAGAAAGGTAGGCGTGGTCAGAATGCTCCCGAACGTAAGCCGAACCTGTCGGCTGGTGTTCGGGACAGATTCGGGGGGAAGTCGTGAATGTTTGCCCTGCGGCTAGTGATTATCCTGGTGGGTACTGAACACCTCTGACCTGATGATACCCCAGATAACCCCACCAGTCCATCCGGCCTTTTCTTATCAGTTCCCTACTACCTAAACACCGTTTCCTGGCTGATGATATGTTTACTCGAAGAGATAAGAGCTCATCACCAGAAAGCTTTCAACAACTCGGCAATTAAATGTGCAAAGATTGAGTGTAAAAAGTCGTTCGGTGTAATATGGCCAGCTGCCGCTGCGCCGCGTGCCTGCGAAGCTGGTGTGTTACGCCGAAGGGTGGTTATACCGGCTATACCGATACCGATGAGGGAGAAGTTATATAGTACCTAAAGGCGTATAAAAGCAAGTTGTAGTAAAAAGCGGCAAGATTTCTGGTCGGAGATATAAAATATCGTCTATACCCTTTGATATACACGTAGTTAAAACAATTTAAGTTCTCTACATAAAACATGCACAGAAAGTAATCGCATATACACGTTATGCATATAGACCTTGTAATTATATATGACATACAATGCTACTTTTGTGTCTGTTCATATCTGAAGGGGTTTACCGCCAGACCAATCCTACCAAAGTATTATCAGCGAACGGCTTGGCCGAACGTCCAGCAAAGAACAATACGGCTTCATCTACAAGTAAGTACTCGCTGGAATATTTTTTGTTTTATAGTTATCAATTAACTGGTATAAACATTGGGCACATTTACATAAAATTTTACTTATAAGCTTAACATGTGAAGTCAGATTGAATGCATAAGAAAAGACCTAAAAGCTAGGTCTTTCAAACAATGATAAATGTCAGTTGACGGAAGTTAAAAACAAAAGAAATTACTTTTGCTACGGTAGCAGTGGGTATATTTATGTTTCAGTCCATACCATAGGTATGGATGAAATATATTGTTTTTCATCGTGTTTTCACCCCAGACCCAGCCGAGTGACGGTTAGTGACTCCTATCATTACGATGACGGCCCAGAGGCTGTCGGGGCGAAGAATCCTCAAGATGCATTTCAGCGTGAGCCCTTCATCGTCCGCTTCTCGGCACCAGATACAGGTAGTGTGCTGTATATGAAGATCCATCATGTACAAACATAAGAAAACACCACTGGAGCATCCTAAACTTGAGTGGTACATATGTAGCATTTTAGGCATATAAACATATTAACTGCATAAAAGTAAGCAAATATTGGTTGATTTTATTTTGATTTTATTCTTCGTATAGTGGACAGCAGAGTGACGATTGATCAATCGCGTTACTTACTTACTTACTTAGTCCTCTTCTGAGCCAGCATGGCTCTTTGTTTTTCAATCGCGTTAGTAGGAGAAAAATGACTTTTTGTTTACATAAAACTTCATTTTTGTTCAATTCCAGTGGTGAGTGACTTTGCTGTGGTGGTCATTCATACATCTCCAAAAGACGCCGTCAAGGAGATTGACCATCTGGTCGACGTCTACGATGACGTGGTCCAAAAATGGGGCCTTGAGGTACACATATTTCAGTTGACATCTGTGTGTAAATAGAATTGTGTGTGTGTAAGTATGTAAACGTTTTTAAACACATGTTGTTGTTGTCGATACACATTTCAAAAATAAATCATACTTAACTGGGCGCCAGGACGTAAATTAATGAATATTAATGCATTTTTTCTTCGGCAGGATGTCATCATAACTGGCGACTTTAATGCCGGTTGTAGTTACGTCACCAAGTCGGAATGGGCCGACATCCGCCTTCGCCACGACCCAAGGTTCACCTGGCTCCTAGGCGATGACGTGGACACAACTGTGGCAAAATCTGACTGTCCATACGACAGGTAGGTCACAGCCTGCTGCACTACTCCCTTTTCCATTATGTCCACTGTATTTGTCATGGGACGAAAGCGCCACACACCGGACGTTGTTGGCATAGCATTTCCAAATCTTCTCCAGACAGTGCACAATTCAAAAATTATAACTGAACGCTACTAAAAACGTATGTAAACGATTGATTCACATTTGAAGACTATTGATAATCCTTAAAACAATCGATGATCTAAAATTGAAGACATAAAGGTATATCGTTGAGCCCAAACTATAGACAATGCATTATGTGAGCATTTGGACACGAATAAATGAAGACCATCTAATCCATGTGATACATACACATTTCAACCTCTTTCCTCCCAAACTTCCCCTTCTTCCGTTCGCTACGTATTACAGAGAACACTTCATCCATATCAAATACAATCTGTTTGCAAGTATTAGAAAACATGCACAAAAGCAGAAAAAAATATTTACGTCAATTTAAATATCAAATTATCTTCTGTTGCAGATTCGTGCTTGCCGGAGAAATGATGATGAAGTCTAACGTACCAGAAAGCGCCCAGGCGTTCAGGTTTGACGAGGCATATGGTCTGAGCCAAGACGAGGTATCATTCAATAAAAATGTGGTCACATTATTAAATTTCAACCCAGACTAAGTAATATGCTGTTTGTAGCTTTTCAGTGCTATCTGTTCGAGAATTATAATATGCAAAATCCGGTGTAACGTGCTATTCATCGTATTTGCTACCTAGGTTTTTTTTTAAACAACCAGTGTTTATTCCACCTGGTTTATTCACATCCTACGTTTTCCTGACTCCCTCTAACCTTCTTTAAATTTTAAATACAGGTGACATGTTTTGATTAGACCTGCCGCCAGGTGTCGCTTCTATGGCGTCAAACACAGTGTGTAGTCGCATAATATATTTTCATTGTCAAGCACAGTAACAGTAAACAAGTTATAGTTACTTTTTAAGAATGTTATCCTAAACGAGAGTATATTGTAAGTCTTCGCCCCTCCACCTCATAGCAGGGTTCACGACTGGAGTAGATCCTCTTTGCAGCTATGTAATAAACATGTCCATGCATACGATTTTATATTTTTACTGCAATGATATGTACACCAACACTTTGATCTCCGTTTATGTATATATTGTCTGTTTGTTTGTTTGTTTGTTTGTTTGTTTTTCAGACGGAAGACGTCAGTGACCACTATCCCATAGAAATGGAGCTGCACGGAAAAGGTATGTAATATTAACTTAACGCTATTTCTTGTCCTACTTACAAAAGCAAAACCAAACTTCACTGTATGCACACCTCATTTCTACCTTATCAAGTAGATTCTTTGAAATTTTTTTTGGATATTTGATTTTTTTTTTGGACAGCAAAGGATGATGGGGAGACCAGTGACGTCGAATCTCTCCTGTCAATCACCGTCTCTGACCCTCAGGCCAAAATCAGTGACCTTGAGGAGCACTTCATGATCTTGACTGAATACTTCGATGGATTCAAGGTATAGAAGTACAATACAATTGAAATAGATACCTTATGTATGTCTCTTGTATTCATTATCATTCATAACAACCAAAATGTTAATAATTATTGAACAAAGATTCATTTCATGTTAAACGTGTTCTATGTATGTCGAAATTTGGCTCATATATCAAAATGCCTCCTACCCTGAGGTGTCGCCAAAAAGATGCATAGTATCAGCTTTCTTTACCCATTTTTCCTACAGGTAAACAACTTGTACACATCCAAAGGTGACGTCGCCCTTTTATCGGCCATCAAGACCGGCTTGACCAGCGATTCAGCATCCAACGAGCTCCAACGTATGAAGGAGAAACTTGAGTTTATCTCAGGCGACATGTTTGACGTGGCTAGAATGCAGATCACTCCAGACGATACCAACCTAACCATGGAAATCACATGTAACGTTGTGAAGGGAGGCTGTGAAGTCACCGTCTCTGAGAAAACCCTCTAAACAGTAGCAACAGTCTGTTCAAAAACATAGTAAACTGCAGTTCTAAAACTTGATAAACTGTAATTATAGTTAAGTCAAGTCAAAGTTTATTGCACAACGATTGTAACAGGTACAATGTATGGCAGATAATAAGATTACTCGGCTGGTATGGATCAATAGAAATTCTACATATAGGTTCAACGGGCACTATTTCTGGCAGAATGTTGAATAGATCTACTGACTAACAACTAGTACGCCTCCATAGTGTATTATAATAACAAACTCTGGATAAACCCACTGAACTGTAGTAACGTTCTTTGCGAAACACGCTGAACTGTAGTAACACTCCATAAGAATACATTTTAAACTGAAGTAACACTTTCTGTGAGGACCCGCTTAACTGTAGTAACACTCTTTGAGAAAATCCTTTTAACTGAAGTAACTCTGAGAAAACCACAAAACTTCTAACTAGTAACATTCTCTGACAAAACCCTCTAAACTTTATTAACACTCGTTGAGAAAACTCTAAGCTGCAGTTACACTCTATTAAAAAAAACACAAAATTGTACCTCTACAAACTCTTAAATGACGAGTTTTCTGTATGTGCATTTAAACAATGTTGAGGTGTTATATATTTATAGTTTTAAACAATGTTGAGGTGTTATATATTTATAGTTTTAAACAATGTTGAGGTGTTATATATTTACAGTGGTATTATATGTAACCACTATTTAGTTTTAGGTCTCTAGTCTGTATCATGCGTGTGTCTATAGAGTTACAATGTACTTATTATGTTTTTAAATGAATATATCTGTAGCTTTTTACAGGTTGGTTTTCCATAAGTACTTTTTGGTGATATAATGGTTGAGTTTTATCTATCTGTAGCACAGGGCTTAACGTGAACACAGAAAAATACGGTCATAGAGTCAATTACAGTCTTATCCAATTAATCTTTTCCAGCGACTTTTAAAAATGGAGACAAAAATTTGCAAATAAGGATTATGCTATAGCTATATTTCTTTCTCAGGGTAGCTATGCTATTCACATATTACTACTGTCAATTGAAATAAAACCTGATATAAAACACCATTTACAGAGTATCATTGCCAAGTTCGAAAATGCAAATATCAAATGCGTATTACCCATGAGTTCAACGGCCACAAAACATTATTCACAGTGTCATTGCCATATACAACGATGCAAATATCAAATGCGTTTGGCCTATCAAGGTCAACGACCAACAAATACCATGCACAGAGTGTCATTGTCATGAACGAAAGTGCAAATATCAACTGCGTATAAGCCATAAGGTCAACGGCCACCTAACATCATTTACAGTGTCATTGCCAGGTGCGAAGATTCAAATGTCAAATGCGTATACAGTAAGTCATAGAGTCAACGACTAAAAATCATCATTCACAGGGTGTCATTGCCATGTACGAAGATTCAAATATTAAAAACGTATAAGCCATGGGGTCAACGGCCACCAAACATCATTCACACAGTGCCATTGCCATGAAGATGCAAATATCAAGTGCGTACAAGCCATAAGGTCAACGGCCACAAAACATCATTGCCATGTGCAAATATGCAAATATTAAGTGCGTACGTATAAGCCATAAGGGCAACAAAACCGCCTGTTCTCCGCACTACGACACTTACGTCATGTTCACGTTCCTACACAGGAGACAACACTTGGGAACAATTGATATTATCATGAGGTTACCTAGGCACGCTGGAGCCTAACAAGTGCGCGGGTCTCAGAGAGCATCAAAACGTTCATCGCTAAGAAGTCACTACAAAATAGTGGCTGAAGACTGTCTGGCCCTAAAGATTTAATACGACGTTGCGCCTTAAAGATTGCCAAAGTTACACAAAATTAGCTAAATTCTCTGCGCCCTAGCAACAAATTAAAAACATGATGAAGTTAGCCTCAATCCATACAGCATAACACAAAACTAGAGCCAATCTAAGACATTAACCCTAAACAGTACACCTGGGGTCCGCGCGGACCCCAGCACTATATATTCTGTAATATCTTTTTTGTTTCTAAAGATTTTTTTTGAAATTTTAGGTAATTGTCACCCACAAAGTTGTCTCTTAATACAGTGCAGAAAACTCCGTTTCTACCATTTATAAAAAAATTATATCTGATTTTCTTTTGGGGTCCGCGCGGACCCCAGCCGGCTTTCGATCATAATGGATACACTGGCGTTCTTATACATTACCTTATTTCCGTTTTTATATGTTTTTATGCATTCATCGTATGTCTACCAAGTTTTCAGAGAATGGTGTAGTAATAGAATTAAATTTTAATAACTTTAGTGTAATTATGACGTCATATGACGTCAGAGCTAATAATATACTCCGCCATATTGGATTTTGACCAATGACGTCATCAAATTAGCATATTCTATGCATATTAAATGATTTAACTTATATTTAATTATGTAAGATATTATTAATGTTGAAAAAGAAGTGTAATTTTATATAAAACTAAGAAAATTTTTATGTTTAAACCAAAATTACTTCTATTTTCAAAAAAAACTACCCGTTGCCATGGCAACACAAAAAAAACATCAACTTACTAGTATAAAACTAATATGAACTTTTTTCCAGAGACATTTTAGGAAAGGTCTCCAAATTTGATACTTCTAGCGCAAGCCGTTTAGCCGCTATCTGAGATCAAAGTTGGGCCTCAAAAGCCCCTTCAGTCTGAAATGGGTTTAAAAATCGGGTATTTCTTCTTGTCTTCTTTTCTTCACCAAAAAATAGAAAAAGTTAAAAATGTATGATTTTTGTATGTAATGTGAACACAGAGGTTCCCACATCAGTTTGCAAAACAATTGAGCTGGTAGCATTTTAATGATTTCTAAAGATTAGCAAAAAACTGCTCTGGGGTCCGCGCGGACCCCAAGTGTACAGATTAATCAGTCCGGGAAGGTGTTCTGTTGAGGGTTAAATAAGATCTTTATATCGTTTATTGGGCAAAATAAGTCTAATGTTCTAGTTTATCAGTTTTAAATCTACTGATAAAGGTATTCTGAAGAAAGAATGAAAATTAATGTAAGAAAGCCATTCACTATTATTAAGGTTGACGGTAATAACCATTATAATAGAATGTGCAATGCCATGGAATTAACTGACTATATCCTTAACTTAAGAAAGACCATCACACAGTGCACGTGTATCTTATTATCAAAAGCTAGGGACACGTTTTATCGCTTATCCTAAATATAGATAAGCAGGGTGGCTCATTATACACTAGACAAGCGCAACAACCTTGCTGATGAGTTTCACTGACGTAGTCGTTTGTGATATATGGTATGTCAGTTGTGAAATGTGATTTGGTAAGTCATTGGCTTAGAACGGAGATGAATACGGATGTTCATCAGCTTGTATGTTCTGTGTTCATTTAAGCAAACTCAAATGTAATGTAGAATAAACAGCAATTATAAGCTGCACTATTAATATGAAACCAAACGTGATAGGGCATTTATTAAAAGCAGCGATGTCTACGGTATAATTCTACCTTTGCACGACGTGCCGGTACTTTGTTGGTACTTGTACATGATTGAGCTGTTTTCGAATTACTCTAAATTCGGCATTATAGCAAGAATTTGATAAATCATTCAATCAGTTGGTTGTTGGAAGTGCCAACTCAAGTGACATGTTTACACAGGGGCGTTTATTGAACTTAGTCTTTTACGTTCAGTAAGGTTATGAAAACAGTTCCAGCGTCCTTGTCTATGACCCTTTGGCCACAGCAAGTAAGTTTTATGGATGACATTCTCGGCATACTTCAATCTAATGCGATAGGGTGAAAAAACAAGGCAGGTCAAAAAAAAAAATTCCTAAAGTTTCAAATTTTGGCATCATAAACCTTGTTAAACAAGAAATGATACCTATATTGTGTTATGTTTTATGCCAACTATTACAACATCTATTTGTCACTGAAAAATAAAACTTTTCCATCATCGTAGAAATGATTTTTATTCGATGAGCATGAAATATAAAAGGAATGAAATATAATGCATTGCTGCATCAAGGTAAAAGACAAAATAATAAATTCTCTTCATATATCTGCAATCCACGTTCTGTCTTGGCAACAGAAACAGATATCTTTGCCAATTTTCGGCATGTTGACCACTTTCAGAAAGCAAAAAAAGTTCTTGTTGTTTGATTTTTTTCTACAATCAGGTGAAAATTAATATGCGCGCTGATGGCATCCATAAAAAATTACTTGCTGTGGCCTTATCATGTTTTTAACTCACTCACTCTCACTCATCTCCGCATGCCCCTCCAGGGGGCGTAGCGCCTCTGCATACGGCCCTCCAGGTCTCCCTGGCTGGCTGCCACCCAGGCTGTGGTGATGTCCAGTCCTGCAGCCTGTAGGTCGGTAGATAGCAGGTCTGAGAGAGTGAGTCTCAGAGTTATATTTTAGATCGTAGAAAGTGAAAAAGTTTCTCCATACATGGTAAATTGAAGACTACATTTCCGTGCAGTAGATTACACCATAACAATATACCGCATTCGTAATATTGCAATCTACTGCTTTCTTTGCTCTTAGGATGGCTATTATCATCGTAGAATCCCAGAATTGGATGCCAAGCCATTGCAGGTAAACATTAGCCTAGCCAGGGAATCTATTAAATTCCCATCATATTTTGCTGTGCGTGAGCTTGCATAACCGTTCCAATGGAACCTGGCAGAATGAACAGGTGTGATTCAGAGTCCCATCTGCATCCTGTTAGTAATCTCACCGCAAGGAAATCTGTGGAGTAAAGTCTTATTGAAGATCTAGGTTTAGATTCGCAGCAACTTTCAAATTCCATAAGCCAAGGATTCATCTAGTACATCCTTCTGTATCCATCGTCCGCAACAACCGCCAAAATAAGAAACGACCTTGGCAATCACCCTATGTTACATTACTGGTAAAAGATACTGGTAAATTGATGTATTGATAAAAGATACAGCTTGATTCTAAAACAATGTTTGACTCAAATTCATTTAAAATCAACTTTGCAGACGTGCCGAATTACTTCAAACACGACTGAATTAATTGCATTGACATTTACAGATACGTAGATTAAAAAGCAGTGTTGATTGCCCACGCACAGGTGGGTTTTGACTTAAAAAAAAACTCATAGTCAACATGGTTGATTTGGTGGTGGGCCGAGTTGACCAAAATTGCGATGGGCCGAGTTGGTAATGGTCCGAGTCGTCCTGATTCCATTAAAAACATATTAACATTTACATACAATACACATCAGCTTAGAATACAATTGCACATTCACAAGTCTTTGGTTGCTCTCACAATGAAACAGTTTTGTGCCGGTCTGGCCTACATGAGTGGAAGTTTGTATGGTTTCATTGTTTCTTAGATTGCACTCCGGGTTCTCTCTAGGTCGAAGAAAGACATTGAGGGGTGGGAGTGTTTGCTCACAAATGCGCATTTTCTTTGATCCGGAGTACAAATAAGATAACCACACCTAAATCCAATGAAAAGGGTATTTTTCAAATAAGGACTAAATGAGTCTGTCAAGTTTTGAGTTTTTCTAATCAATTCAAAATGAGCCAGGTGTTGGCATCGTACATCAATGATTTTCAGCTCAATCACTAAATGTCACATTGATCAACCTCACTTAATTACACTGCCAATCGCACTAAAAACATCTTACATTTTGTTCCAGTGGGTTCGTCAAAGTAGACAAAATTGCATTAGTGTTTGATTAATGGCACGCAAAAGGCCATTCAGTGGGAGATGACCTCGTTGAGTTGAACCGTTCCCCTAAGTGCCGACATTCCAATCGATTCTTTACATCTGCCCAACAGTAGAATACAGTTAACCTTTCCGTCCTTTTTGTTCATTCTATTCCCCATGATTTGTAGGTACACATGGGTGTGCAAATACAATGTTCAAAATGGCCTTTGAACAAGTATTCTGTAGTCACGTTTCGACCCAGACGTTTCAAGAGATATGATTAAGTGTAATCGATTGCTACAGTCGGCTCACAGGTCCAGAGTCCTTTGTTAGCCTTAAGAGTGATGTATCCAAGCCTCTGTGCTCATTCTTTGTACATGATGGTTTCTCGATATTTTAATACCAAATCCTGAATGGGTGTGTGATAAGTTATAGCTTAGAGTGTTCCCTGAATACCAAAGAAGCTTTATTTCCAGACGACCTTCACCCAAATGGGCGACATTTCACTATGTACAACTGGCAAATAAAACAAGTCCGCACGGAACAATATTTAATATAACATCCGGACCAGTAGCACGTGCAATGGCAAAGTGGGTACAGTGGTAAATTCACAAGCTATGTGTGGCCTTCATGAGTAGACACTTAGGGCTCGTTCACTGTGTAGGTGAAGCATTTCTGAACTTTACCATTTAACAACCCCGCACCGTGCAATTAACTTCTTGGTACCGCAGCATTCAAAAACCCAGTGGGTACAGTGATTGCTTTTCCGGCCTTTTCCGGCCTTTACCCTGATGTTAAAAAACGCAGGATTTGTTAGTATGTACTTGTAAGAACCTTAACATTAGAACTAGAAAGGTAACATTTGCAAAGCAAATGCATAAAAATAATGTTTACCTTCGCAAATGGTAACACATTCATTTATATGGTGACAGGAGTCTAAATCCCTCCTACTGTAAAATTGCAACATGGTGTAACCCAACGCTAGTTACCATTGTAACAGTCACTACATTGGTTCAGGTCATTGAGGTCAGTGTTAGATGAAGAAGAGGAAGAACCTAAGCAAAAACAATATGTTTTCCTTCTGTAAACATAACAAATCTACACTGTATTACTATTCAGTACCGTAGTATGTATAGCCTATAGTTAGTGGGTACAGTACTAACATCTACGACCTACGTACATGTATGACCTTTACATTTGGACTTTTTCGCTGTGTAATTATGGCATTTTTTTTGCATTTGAACATTAAACAAATCCGGGCGGATAAATTTACAATTCAGTACGGCAGCGTGTACTAGCCTAGTGGGTACTATGATTGCTTTGCACACACATAAATGCAAGGTATGCCGTGGGCTCGGTGACCGAGACCTTTGTACAAAAGACGACATTCTGTTAACCTTTTCTTGAGTTATACCAGTCAAAGGTTGCAGACGAAATTAGCCCTTGCGGTTTAAAAAAATGTTAGCGGCCTCAACCTACATGTACATCACTTCTTCACGTGAGCATTAGCTACTACAGTACCTGTCACCGCTAGCATGCCGTGACTACGCTTATTCTGCTGCAGTACCAAGGAAGCCGCCAGGAGGCCCAAACTATAATCGTCCGTTGGTAGGTCAAGGTATAATCACTCATGACAATTCATCTTTAGATTTTAAAATCATGGTGATAAACCGACTGCATACAGACATACATGAATACGTCCAATTGTTTCTTTTTGTCTTCTTCGTTTAAATGTTGGTTCATTTAGTAATAACGGTAATTTATCTTTTAGTCTTGTAGTATTGGGGAGGGCCAAAGATAAACCATCAGGTTTCCGGCCCTCCCATGCATGTCTACTTAACTTTCAATTGTTACATTTTGTTTTATTCGTGAGTGCAAAACATTATAAAACAGTACCTTTCTATCTAGGCAAAGGTAAAAAGGTAACTGTTCTGTGCTTATAACATGCAACACTTATTATCAGAAATAGTATTCGCACACGGTACTACCGGTGAACTAGTTCTCTGCTGTAATATTATCTGTGCTTGCACAGCTGCGTCGCCCATGGGCTACGAAAACAGAAATGGAAAATCCCTATACATTATACAGTGTGTGAAAGACCTTTGATTAATTTTCTTTCAACCCCTAAACAGAGAATATATATCATGTGTCAAAGTTGCGGCAATTATTAAGGGTTATGTAAAAACTATAATACCTGTTATATGTGTACAGGTTATGGCACTAAATTCCCGTTACGAGATATTAATGGCACAAATTGATTGAACTAACATCGCATAATTAAATTACGCAGCGACCAATCGATTTTCTGACAATTCCCTGTGACCTGAAGGTACCATGTGCGTCATAAAGAAGCCCTTGTCAGTTTCAATGGTTAATCTGAAAATAAAGTTGAGATTGTGCGATTTATCTTACGAAATAGACCAGATGAGGTGCAGCTGAAGATTGTGATTTTTTTTTCATCTTATATTCAAATAATAATAAAATGTACTGATCCTTGCGGGGGGAGGCCTAAAACCTTAGTCTGTGGGGTCTTTTACGGGCCTCCCCCAAACTGAATAGTAAATAGCATCAATTACAATAAAATCTCATCAAAAATCAGATCTTATCTTCAGACGGGGGACTATGGCGTTATTTTTTTCTTCTTTTTTTTTTCAAATTGCAGAGACAAAAATATGTTTATACTACCTGTAAATATGCCTAAAGCACATCAAAGTTTAACTTAATTGAAGTGCTAAAATCATCTGGAATTCAGAGCTTATCTATTCCCACGCCGTGCACTGTGCGATATCGCTTTCACGTAATTCCGTAATCCCCGCTATCAAACAAGGCAGAATATCAAATGAAATCGCATGTTATTGCGAACATTGCCCTCTTGAGAAGATGACATGCATTCAATATTCCTTAATGCATTATTGGTTTGGTGCAGCTGTAGCTATCGTCCACGATCTACGTTTACCACTTGTGACGTCATCTTCATAAGGCCACAGCAAGGACATTTTAGGGATGACATCCTCCGCAGACTCAAAATCTAATGCGATAGGGCGACAATCTAATGCGAAAGGGCGAGCAAAAAACAAGATCCTTTTATTTTCAAATTTTGAGGTTATAAGGCTTGTTAAACAAACATTGAGGTGACAAAACATGACATCACAAACAGATCTTTTATTCTTGTATTCAACATTATTACCTGTCCTTGTAGATGTGTAAAGACTTCAATTAACTAGACCATTCTAGCAAAACGGCTAGTCGTACCATCATGCTACTATACTGGGTTGGATTGGATGCGATGAAACATGTCAGTGTCAACATTTGCGATCAAACGCAAACAAATGTGCCTCAAGTTTGCTGGATCCCTGAACCGACAGGCCTTTATTACAATTAAACATATTTGCCCATTTTTGGCATGATGACCACCATCAGAAGGAAAAACAATTTCCCAAACCCAGGCAAAAATTAATGCGCGCACGGGATGTCATTTATAAAAATTACTTGCTGTGGCCTTGTATTCAAATACTTCAGACTTAATAAAATGCGGGAATCGTAGCGAATGTTGACTTCACTTTCTAGTGTCATTTCGGGAAAATAAAGCTGGTTTCGTCTGGATGAATTGAAAGTATTTTTTTTGTCAGAGCAAAGATTGAGGTCACAGAAATTTTCACTAGTCCTCTGATCCTCTTTGGATAACTATATCGATTGGTCACAACACTTGGCCTTCGGAAAGTGGAACGTGGGCACAAAGTCAAATGTGGTTGTTGGCAGCTGTTTCACTGGTCGCAAGTTCGCTTAGTTCAAAATAGTGTGTTGCAAAATAGTTTAACCCCAACCATAATGCCGTTTACTATCACAGATTGAAACGTCAAACTCTTTTCCAACACAAAGATCGAACCGCATTTGTAACCAGTCCTCTGATCGTCTTTATGACAACTGATGGCCAGATTGCTTTAGGAAGTTCAGAACACGTCTTCGTCTGGTAGGTTCCATCTCAAAGCAGTTTAACCTTATAGAAAACTGTCATATACAAACACAGATGAACTCCCATGCTACCTTGGCCTTGCATTCCAACTTAATACGATCGATAATCCTGGTACGTGCCGCGTATGAGACAAGTTGTGATTGAATGCTGAGGCGTTTTTGCCCCATTACTTTGACTTGGATGGGCTTTATTAGATCCCATTGAACCCGTGCCCTACGCCGTTAACCTTATCGGTCGAGCGAGCAATATTCCTGTGGAATAGACAAGTACAGCATCATGCAATCTGCTATATTTAATTTCCCCATCGCGACCCTTCTACCAGATAACAGTATAATGTTAAAGAAAGTTGGAAGGTTCAAATTACAGCGTCGGTATACGTGAGCTGTAAAATTTCCGAGAAATGGGAGAAATATTTGAAGAATGTAACTCTAGAACCAAATTGACGAATGAACTTTACCGCATCATGTTTATCGAAGGAAAACATATCGTTTTTGCTCTCTTTCCTCTTCTTCTTCTCCAAATCAATAAGGTCAATGACATGAACCAGACGTCTGTCACCATAACTATTGTTGGGTTACACCATGTTTCAATTTTATAGCAGGAGGGATTTAGAGTCCTGTCTGACCATATATAGATATGAATGTGTTTGATTGAGAATTAACAGAGCAGACCATATGCGAAGTTACCTTTCTAGTTTTTCATTGCATTTAAAAGCAACTGCAATTTTTCTTTGAGTACTAGTATATGTATGCGTGTCTAAAATAAATTACAGGCTTTGATATATACGGCAAATAATTCCCCATCCGTGTGCACTCAAATCTGTAGCCCACTCTATACTCGACGTGAGTAGGCGTACTTAAACATCTTCTGGCTAGACGAAAAGTATCGGTGGAGGTCAGCTTCCAGGCTCAGCTAGTCCAACCTGTGGGTCAACACAGTTTCTTCTAGAAGGTACACAAGACGATAAAATATGCTACGTTTGTTTCTATCTCATTATTTTCCTTGAAACGAACTATTTTCAAGATACATGTGAGCAAATACGAAGTGCCAAACAAGGCTTACTTACTATAATATCCATGCGCGGCTGGTATCTTATGTTTATTCATGAGCCTTTTCATGATAAAAACGACGGGTATGATCACAAGGCCCCTTTCCAATCAGTCTGTTTCAGCATGAGTCCTGAGTTGTACCTGTTGCGGCGCGCTAACATTTCGCCGATTTAAGATTCTGAAACGACTTTCAGGATTGCTGCCAAAAATGAGAAGTAAGTAGTCCTATGTGCGCAGTTTAGCTCACCGCACTTATGTGGCAACAGCTAGTGACTCCCAAAAAAGGTAAGTGCAGAGGGCCTTGCTTGAAACGCGCGATCGTGTGCTATGTTGGAAGAATATAAGGAATTTTGTTTGAAATTTTGAAATTCAATTCTTCGATATATGATTTGAAACAATTTATATATTTATTGTGTATGAATAACGATATCACTACATTGTACGTTTGCTGTAAATGGGGATGTCTATGGTCTTGCGGTTTCATTATTAATGATGATTATTATTAGGCTGTATAAACTGGCATACAGTTAAAAAATGACAAAGGGCTAGCCCCGGTACATGGTAACCGGACAATATACAACAAGACACGGTTACAATGTTAGCTCCAATGCGTTAACAGGGAGCTATTACGTGGGTTATATAAAATATGCATAGTAGGGAGTTACAAATGTATATTCTATACGGAGCCATTCCGTGTTAATAACGTAACAAGCGTAATATTTTTGATAAAAAAACGGTACAAAGCAATATAAAAACTGTGTACATGATCTATGTATAATATCATAAAGGCGAATCGTTCAATACATGTATTTGTTACTAGTGTAGTGTTTATAGAGTATTTGTCATCAAGCAATGTCTGGAGATGTAAAGAAATGTCAAGCAGTCTGTACCAGTATTAGGCCGGAGGGAGTTGGCTCTGCTTACAAAGGTTCAGTGCGATGGGTAGTCCTAATTGCCGGTCGGGAGCAGCCAATTGTTTACCGTTCCAAAAGGGGTCACGGAATTCCGGGCCTTAAAAATTCAGTAACATGTAGCCTCAAAATCGCTATCTTTGTAAGTTTTATTCTTTTTGTAATTTTGTAAATTTTGTAATTTTTTATTGTTTAAGTTTTTTTTTAATGTTTTTTTCATTTTTAAAAATATTTTGAATTTTTGTAATTTTTGAAATCTTTGTAATTTTTTATGTTTTTCAAATTTTTTAAATTGTTCTAATTTAAATAATTATTTTTTATTTCTTAATATTGTAATTTTTCAATTTTGTACTGCTGCTAAAATAACATTTTGGTTTGTTTCTATATGCAAACCACATAGCAGTTGCCATGTGCTCCACAGTAAAAAAAATGATTAGTCTAGGGAACAATTTACAGTTGCAACAAATTAAATGTTTCAATTCATCATTTTTTAACCTTGTTAATAAACATTTAACTACCAGCCAACCTCCCTGACATGATTGTCTTCAGACAATTACTGTAAATTTGATTCATTTTTCCCAATACATATTATCAAAAGCCACGTATCGTTTTCATCAAATACTAGATTGTGCGATAAAATCTCATAACACTGTAACAATTTGATAAAAATGTTAGGGAGTAGAGAGTTATAATACTTTGCATTCAGAAGGTCACGGGTTCGAACCCCTACCGGGTCATGTCAAAGACTACAGTTATTGTCATTTTTCATATTGCATTTAGTCCGTGACTATTTCTTTGGGTCGTTTTTGGTTATTACGGAGTCACTGTGACTGTTACTGCAGGTTTAATTGTGATTTGACCCCATAACTACATAAAGACATTGCATAAAGACATCTTCTCAAAAGATTCCAATATTTCTTTTTGCTTATCAAAGTAAAATGCCTTGAACACATGTTACAAAGCTTAAGATATATTCAAGAAAATTCTATCTGCAACTTTCAGTTTGGAATATGTTCGGATATCAAATCTTAAATCAGCTCTATCACTTGCAGTACGATAAACCCGTATAGACCTGGGCTCTGTAAAACTCAGTATCATGTAACTAGTTAGCCAATATCTCAGTTCTATCATTACTTATAGTCTAGTACATTTTTATTTTTACTTTATATTCTTGGTTACAGGTGAACCTAACTGCTTCGTGTGCAACCATGAAATTTCTAATCTGCTGTCTTAACATGCATTTTGAAAGTGTCTTGAAGATCTTGTAATTGGCAAGCTCAGCTGCCCTAACAAGCCAATTTAAACTGCGCGATTGCCAGAACTACTGATGTCAGATGTCAGTTTATGTATCTGGCTTGAAATTATGCCGCTGTAGGGTCTGTTCATTATGTGGCATTACTCTGATCTGAAGAGGACAGGGTTGTGGTAGTAATGTGTCTGGTGGGACTAGTAAAATCTTCCAGACAATGGGTCCTTGATCGGTAGCCTATAAATCTTTTGAAATTGAAGGTTCCCTTAACCCTTGTCCTGCGGGGCCCATATAGATATGGGTTGCACATACAGTACCATCTATATAGCACCCCGTATATATACGATTTGGGGATGTTTCTCGTGCAATACATCACACCGCAGCGAAACGCAACGAATACCGAAGTAACTACGCCACCGCAGCGTTTTCCCATTGAGTTTACAACTAGGCTCTATATTGATTGATTTACAATGTAGTCTAAGCTATATGTGAAATTTCTAGTGCATACAAAAATCATATTAAAAAGACTTATTGGTTGCTTATTACATTACATCGTAATTTCGATGAATAAGCAAATCATCAAATCAACAGAATTGAAAAAGACACATGCAATCTATGAAGATATTTGACAACACATATGAAACTGCACCTGACGGATGTGAAATGATAATTGAACTGCCCACGTAATGGAGTAAAGGAAATTGCTATCCTTCAATTGCACTTCATCGCGACGGGAACTTCTCTAACAGCTGTTGATGCCTATTGGGCAAAGGCCACCAAATGGCGCATGTGATGACCAATGATTGAGTGCAGCAAACCAACTGAAAACAGCCTTTTTCTTGGTTTGTGTGGATGAATGCTGGTATTTTCCAGCTGGAGAGTTATTTCTATTTCTATTAACTTGAAAAAACTGGCTGTTAGTGTTGTTCTGGTTGCTTGGTAGGTTCTAAAACTAATCCCATCTTCTTGTCTTTTGGTGGTTTTCAAGGGGGTCAGAGGTCATGCTGCCAGTGTTTGCATTTGCCGTGATAAGTATCGCTGGTCAAAAAGTGAAATGTTTGGCCTAAATGGACAATTCGGAAGTTGGACTACCCTGTCAATATGTGTTTACAATAGTTGAACACTCAAGTAGGTGATTGTTGACAGCTCAGTTCTTTAATGTTTTCCATATATTCCAATAGGAGCTGGAATTAGTGGGCTGTCCCCTATTCTGTGTGTGGATGGTGGGGGGGGGCGATCCCGAGTCGTTCCCGGGACATGTCTGGACATGCGCCCGACGTTGTGTCCTTGGGAAAGGCACTTTACACGACTTACTTCACTCCACCCAGGTGTGAATGGGTACCTAACGGTTGGGGAAAGCCGTATTGAGGTCACCGAATGGCAGCCGCACAGACCCTTGCGGCAGTTCCACAAAAATGTGGAACAAATATGTATTATGTGTATTATTATGTGTATTATTACCATTTGTATCATCTGATTGTAAACCCTGCATCAATTCAGCACTATAAGGCTGCGATTGCACGGGTGATGTTTAGCCAATAAACCATTTATTATTATTATTACTTTAATGTTGGCATTTTTATAGAGTATTTGTCTGTCCTAGAACGCCGAATATCCACAATCCTACACGGTTAAATGTTTGCATGGGGAAGAAAGATTGTATGTCCTCCGATGCCTAGCTAGGTTATAGCAAATGCTGGGGACCAATTTTTCATTGTCGTACTGGGGCCTTTACTACTATAGATAGTCTTTTTCAGATAGTATATGTTATAATGTATATGCCAATAAACATGAATAGCTGAAAAGTGTTTGTAAACCTTTGCATTGGCCCAAGCCCAGCAAACAACAACACTATTCAAATAACACAGAAGCATAAATTTAAACC